AAATGACTTGTCGTATGTTATGTTTCGTAAATACAGACCACTAAAAGAATAGTAGTCTGAGATAAAGTTTACGGACAATGTATGTCTCCTGCTAAACATTTTTTTTCTGATTTGGGGAAAATCAATACATTAATATTTTCATGCAATTTGGCGACTGGTACATCGGGAAACTAATTTTGTTCGCTGTCAAGTTGAGGTTGGAAAAACGAAGTTCGTATATTCGATGTTAACACGAAAACGTTGGCGAACGTTAAAATCACCGGTATATACCACCAACATTATATTTACCATTTTCTAAAAAGATATTTAAAAATATATTGCAAATAAGACATGTTTTGTTATCGTTGAAGATTAAGTCGCAATTTTGAATTGAATGAATCGTCCATTCAGATATTGGGGTGGGATATCAAAAAATACGGGTATGATATTGGGATACATTACTATATAACGTTAAACCAAATAATAAATTAGGCAGTGGTGAATTCCGCATGACATAGGGCCTCATGGTGGGCAACTATTCAATTCAAAACTTGACACTTTACGGTATTGTGGAGATTGTAATTAAAATTTTATATTTTGTTGTTTTAGAAAGAGGGCGTACTTACCTTGGAGTGAGAGGTAGAACATATCTTGGTGTGCGGGTAATTATTTTTTTAGTCTGATATAGATTCATTATGAAAGCATTTTAAACATCTGTCTAATATAGTCGTTACAGCAACATTTAGGAATGCTAATGATCTATTGTTTTCTCTCTATCTGGAAATCATTTGCGGACTTTTATATTAATGATAGGATGAAGAGAATGACTCGGAACGTGAAGGTATGTACATTACGTCTGTCAGGGGGGAATTCTCGTCTGGTCTCTATATCTCGTCTGCTTGAAGTACCGGACCGGGAAAGTCACTTAAGCTTTACAGTCAAATAGACGCACACAACGAAATACGTTTCAATAGCCAGTCTTTAGCCACATCGAGAACGCCTCGAAGCAAACTGCCTCGTCGGGGTCTCTGTCCAGCACTGACCAAGACTCTCTCGCCTCCTGGAGCTCTCTCCGGGACCAAGGAGTTAGACCGTTTATTACGTATCAAAACTTAACCAATTACAAAGCAGTTAAAAGACTATAAGGCGTGGTCTTCACACATTCAACTTGCACATAGCCAATCACACTAAGTACTGGACACGTCATATTTTTTGATTAATCGTTCACTATATTACTAACTGCAAATACCCAACTGTCAGAAATAGCGGTCCGGATAGCGACGGTTATATCGTAATTAGTTCCAAATCACTGAGTTCAAGTTCCGTCCAAGACCTCGCATTATCCTAAATGACGACAAGATATAACACAGGCCATTCACTAGTAATCAGCTAAATAAGTCGGTCAACAGATACGCGAAAACTAATTCATGACACGTCATTCATAAATTAGATAAGTGATTGAGTTCATTTACTTCATCGATATATGTAGCTTAGTTCAATAGAAGTGAAATATAAATATAAATTGTAATACTCGTACAACACTCTTGTTTCAGAAAGAGGGCGTACTTACCTTGGAGTGAGAGGAAGAACCTATCTTGGTGTGCGGGTAAGTATTTCAAAACC